TCAATCGATTCAACATTACCATTAGATTTAGCTGATAGATTATGAATCAAAGAAGAATTATACTCCAGTTCAAGATCATCGGCCCAAGAAACCCTTGAGGAGTTACCAGCTTCTATCCCAGATATTGGAGATTTACTTAAATGCCTCGATTGAACACCAATCATCTCCGATGAAGGCTGAGAGCAAAGAGGATTCACCAAGAAATCATTCTTCATAGATTTCCTCTTACTCTCATCCCTAGGGCCCGTAGATCTAATTACTCCAAGATCCAGATCAAGAACTTGACCAGATTGAGAGCTCAGAGTCTTACCAAGAATTTGACGAGATTGAGAGCTCAAAGCCGCACCAAGAATTTGACGAGATTGGATCCCTTTCAATCTAGGGGAGATAGAAACAGGATCTAAAGCAGAATTCAGCAGATCAGCCATTAGAATCTTCTTCTTCTCCCCTTTAGGACCCGTCGACCCCATTAGATCTGATTCCGATGAGGATTCTCCGCCATCATCAGTAAAGCCAGCTACACCAGGATTCACAGGAAAGATCAAGCTTGAATTTGAAGATCGCAAGCTAATTTCCAAGATTTCCTCCCATTTTCCTTCTTGTTTTTTTGCCATCTCAAAAACTCGACAGAGGCATATTTTAGCAAAACAAATCTCTCGCTAACTTACGCCAGCGAAACCTCCCCTTGCCATTTTTCTATTTGTCACATATGGTTTCAAATGTTGTTATTATTGTTACGTTGATCTGTGCCTGCTACTAGCATATTCACATTGAAAATTCAAAAATGAGTTTCACTTTATATATTTATTTATGGTTAATTGAGATAGACCCCTTTAGTAACACTGATATGTACTGACTAGCTACCTGTTATATGCTTACTACCTTTGTAGCTTCATTGCTGCAGATAGTCCCCTCTGGACTAATTTATTTTTGGAACGCTTGTATCCTTGTCGAAATTTTCACTTTATATAATTATTGAACGAATTCCCAAAATATATCAATAACCAGTTGACATTTGACATAATATCTGCTATTACATTTGACATAATATCTCAATAACCAATTGGACGGCACACTATTCTGTAACATTCAGAAAGTTTCTGGGATCCAAAATATAAAACTCCTATAGAAGTCCACTTTGTAATGTCAACATTAGTGAGAAATAGAGGTTGCTAAAAGTTAACAATTTCCTTTTCACTTGCATTCATATTTTTTACTGCTTGTAATTCATAATAGTCCCACATAGGGCACTTGATTTCTTAAATGTGTGGATGATATTAATCGTTGTAATACCATGTGACCGTGCAAGGAAAATGCTAATCAAATTAGATGTAAGAGTCGACAATTCAGAAAAACATGCAATCATGCACACATATCACTCAACTGCTAGTCCTTTTTCTTTCTTTCTTTTTTTCCTTTCCTTTTCTTTTCTTTTCTTTTTTCCCCCTTTAACATATCACTTGTTGATAGTTACATAGTAGTTCCATGCCCTTTTGTTGCTATTTAAAAGATGCATCCTGAAGTTTCTATATGTGCAAAGATTCGTTGCTCATGCACTATGTTAAATATATCATTTAGTTCATTGCCTAACAAGATTACCTGGTTCATTATCCTTTTATATATGATCTTCATAAATGTACTAGTGAAAGTTTCTGGTCTGCAATATCTTATATTTATTTGATTACTGTATTCTGTGTCTTTGTTCTACATGAGACCAAAAACTATGGAAGAGATCTTAACAATAGATATAAAACCCGGATGGAAGAAGGGCACAAAGATCACATTTCCAGAAAAAGGCAATGAGCAACACAACCTAATACCTGCAGATCTTGTCTTCATTATCGATGAGAGGCCACATGGTATCTTCAAGAGAGAAGGCAATGATTTATTCTACACAACAATTATCTCCCCTCGCATTGCAATGCTTGAAATGAATAATTGTCAGTTCAACAATTATGTGGACTCTCGTGAGGGGTTTGATGTTTGGTTAATGTGTTTGTTATGATCCCTATCCCATCAAAATTCTGTCTGTATTTTTCCTTTGATTGGGGTTATTGTGGCATTTTAAGGCGAGTTGTGATACTTATTCATAAGACAGGTTTGCATGTTCGAAAAAGTTGTGCTCTATTTGAATTCTATTTGAATTTCTTTTTGATGTGGCATAAGTGGCTTCTTGTGGCATTGGTTATCGTAATAAACAATGTATATCATTTTGCAAGTGATGTATTCTTTGAGTTATTTGCGCTTGGCATAATAAAAAGAAAAAAATACATGATTGGTAATTTTAATGCTATCTTGTTCAATATGTTCATGCTATTCCTGAATGGGTTATGTACATGCCTATGCATATTTTGATAATTCAAAAAGTTTACAAAAAGCCCCTAATAGTTTACAAAAAAACCCCTAAAAGTTTACAAAAAACATCCTAAAAGCATTATACATATATAGCTACTATAGTTAAATGGGCAAATGGGCGGCCCGTTTATTAAATGGGCGGGTGAAAACCCGCCCATTTAGAAAATATTAAATGGGCCATAAATGGGTAAATGGGCAAAACATGCCCGCCCATTTATGACCCGCCCGTTTAATGCCCAAACCCACCCGTTTAACACCGCTACCGTCACCGTAGCCCATCTTGCGAACGATGCTGCACATAAAGACCTCCAGTGGACGGACATTGGAGTCCGTGAGGTTCACTTTGCCCTTTCCTGTAGTAAAATTGCTCAGTCCCAGGTGATATCGGAGCTCTTCCTCTGATGCTGCATATGGAATGTCGATCTTGTTTCCTAGGATGAGGAATGGGACGCTGGCTAGGGATTCGTCAGAGAGTAGGGCATCGAGCTCCTTCTTTGACTCTGCGAATCTGTCTTTGTCAAAGGCGTCCACTAAGTACACTACGGCGTCAACCTACAATAAAAGATATGCCCATGGAAAAATATGCATTAGGGTGATACTTCTCTCTGCTTTAATAGGTTGCCAATTCGGATACTACTTGTTGTATTCCCTCAGGCCCCGTTTGGCAAAGGGTTAATGAAGAGAGGTTAAAGAGAAGGATTAATGTACTTAGCCCATTTGATAATCCGAAGGACTAAATTATTAACCCGTTAAATAAGTTTTATTTTAGCCCTTATGATCAGTTTTAGTGTTTGGGAATAACAATGATTTTGACTATTTTCTTTACAATTAGAAGGGTTAACTCTTATTCCATCTAAATAGGAGTATTAGTAAACCCCTCATTTTGAGGGGTTAACTCATTTTAACCCCTCTAGAGGGGTTAACTTAACCCTTCTATATTTTTTATGTTTGGCAAATTATGGAGGGTTAACTCACTTTAAACCTTATATAAATTTGTTGTGTTTGGCAGGTTAAGAAGGGGTTAAGTCTCCTTAACCCCTCACTTAACCCTTTGCCAAACGGTACCTCATGTTTTAAGTTTGGGAAGTTTGGCACAAAGAAAAAAGAAACAATGATAACTAATTGGACTCCATGAGAGATTCAGGAACAAGGAAATGTATAGAAGGCAACGGAGACACTAATACACAGACTGTAAAAGCCAAAGTTTTCTCGACAGATCTTCCTCCACTAATCAGTTGCACTGTTAGGTATAAGTTATGACACCCAATAGGAATCACAGCATAAAGTTGTGTATCAACATAAAATAGATTTGGAAGAACCAGGATACGTGATCATATAAAAGCACAGGGCATAAAGCATAGGATCACTTGAATGCAAAAAATATGTGACGTGCTATGTGTCATTTATGCAGGATAACCATCATTATAACAAGAAATAGGGTAGATTTCACAAAACTGTCATTAAGTGTTATGGGTATTTGATAACAATAGTGCAGCTATCTTTATTAGAGAAAAACACCAAAAATTTTCAAATAAGGAATAACATGTATTATCAGAAAAGTGTCCTAGCAGTATTAACCACACTGTTAAACAGTCTAAAACCCCCCGATATTATATAATATATATATATATATTATATATATATATATATATATATTATATATATATTATATATATATATATATATATATATATATATATATAGGTGTAAAACTTGTGTCAACTTAAAGTGGATAGGAAATATTGTCCACCAAAACTTTTTTTCCATGGATCTTGCCTAGGGATTCCTTGCATATATGAAGAGACTTTTATATTAATAAATGAGTGCTAAAAAGTTGGTGGACAACTATTCTCTATCCACTTAAGTTGATAGGAGTCTCTCTCTCTCTCTCTCTTCTCTCTCTCTCCTCTCTCTCTCTCTCTCTATATATATATATAATATATATATATATATAATATATATAGGTACATGAAAGTGCAATTAATATGTTCGCTATATCTGAAAAGTTAAAATTAGATCTCTTGATCATCAAAATTAACCTAAAATCCAATCTAAGGATTAAAACAACTGTAATTGTATGATCAACATATATTCAGATAATTTGAATATGGATCCGGATTTCAAATATGGATCAAGATATTTCACCACATATCTGTATCCATAACCATATCCTATTGGATACAGATATTTAGTAATCTTATATGGATAATATATAATTTTACGAAAACGGATTTTTCCCCCCCTTTTTGCACCCTATTCACAAAACTTCTAATAACATATCAATTTATTCCAGATCAAGATAGCAACTTGAACAGGTTAACACTCAATAAAACACCACACAATTATTTTTCCTCACCCACAATTAGATAGATTATACATGATCCTTAAACCTGACAGACCATAGCACCGACTAATTTGGAAAAAGAACAGGAAACAATGCATGAAATTTGTAATGAAATGTTGCAGAATATCATGGCCTGGTTTATTGATAACTATGACTAAGTCTGGTTAGGTCCCTCATAGCTGCTCCTGACCTAAATAATTCCCCTCAACCTAATTGCAGAACAATTTAATAGTAGGATCCAATTGCCTAAATGAACTAAGCCTTGTTACAAACAAGTAACTTGAACTATTGAGCATGCTTTAGTAAACCAAGTCAAACATAATTAAACAAACTACAGAAACACATTAAAAGATTTTTGTCCCTATTTTTTTGGTTCTGTTTAGGCCAAATCTGGTGCATGCAGCATCTGGGGGCATGGTCAGTGACTAGTATTAAATAATATATAAAACCTAGAGGTTTACGCTTTCATTGGAATGACTTGAACCGCAATTGAAATGCAAGGTTTTGAACACATTCCCAACACAAATACATGATATTATTTCCTATCTTAGCAGATTGATATTGTGAAATAGAAGAGAAAAAACCAATGTTAACAACAAATAACGCATAATGTGACGCTCCACCTCTGTTAAGGTTAAATGCAAAATAACGTAGTGTATAACGTGGTTATGTGTTTTAGTATTGGTTTAAATATTTAATAAATAAAAAATATTCAAAATGATCAAGGTTGCTGATAGCGGATTGCGGCGCGTCGCAGCGAGGTACCACTAAGGCTATATCGGGCTATTGCGGCGAAATCGCGGCAAATAGCGCACAGTCAAATAGCGGTCAAATTTAAATATATTTAAATATCCTAAATAATAAGAAAATTCATAAAAAAACTAAAAATTCAATTAGTTGTAAATTTCTTGTATTATCAATAAATAACAATTAATAAGCTTGTTGTATGAATGAAACTATGAAGAAATTTAAGAAATATAGCATCATAATATGTGTGATAGCGGGTTTAGCCGCTTTTAACAACAAAAATCCGCTTTTAACCGCGAAAATCCGTTTTTAACCGCGAAAATCCGCTTTTAACCGCGAAAACCGGCTTTAAACCGCTAAAATCCGCTTTTACGCGCTATTCGAATGAATAGAGGATTTTTCCCACTTAAGCCAGCCGCGAAACCCCTACGCGTAGCGCTGAAGGGCCGCGACCGCTATTCGCGCCGCTATAGCCCCGCTATTGGCCGCTATTTACAACACTGAAAATGATTTAAAAAAATAAAATCACCACAATTTTCAAACATAACATCACAGTTATCAAATATATCATTGCAATTTCTCAACAAAAATATGTGACAAATTCTTAACAACCAATCCTAAAGCACATGTACTTCAAGTTAAAACCATAAATCAAAGAAACCACTCTCAAGTCCAAAGCACTTTGAAAAACATGAAGCGTATAACATAAGGTCTCTCGATAGTCTAAAGCACAATGCATAAATAGTTTATATGTTTTCTTATTGTTTAATTTAAGAACATAAAAATTGTTCATATAATTTTAAGAATTATGAACAAATTCCAAAACAAAATTTTTTACAATATAAGTTCTTTAATTTCTTATAAGCTCTGCAGATTTATCAACAGGTATCACAATAGAATGTTCAATTATATAATCACAAATATACAAATTCATAATTTCACATTCATTCTATTAGTCACATTCATAATTTTGTAATCACATATTGTTGTCACCGACATAAGCAGTGAAGGTTTAACAAACAATTCAAAACAAATTACATTATTACTTTAAATTTTAAAAAAGGAAATACTCAAAAGTCTATTGACATATTGCAAGTTATATCAAAATAACGCAGGTTATATTTAAATAACATAAATTATACTCAAATAATACATGTTATATAGTAACATCATAGAGTTATGATGTATCTGAGTTATTTTAAGTGGTTATGTAACGCCTAAGGTCTACCAGGTTACATAACGCAAGATAAAGACCTGTGTAACAGGTTTTTTCAACAATGTACAAAACCAACGGTGAATCCGTTCAACGCACAAGCTAGGATTATAACACAGTTGTACATGGCACAGTGTAAAGCTAATTCATATCAAATAATACTAATAGGCTTGAATCAAATTGCTTAATTAGTTAATGTTAATCCTAAAGTGGACAGATGGAGAAAAGGATAATATAGTCTCCAGAAAATTTATTGATAAGAGACAGATGGAGCAAAATGAAAAGAACTAAAACAACAGCAGAACAAACACCAAGTCATCTGGTTATCCAAGTAAAACCTAGTAGAAAAATCTGTTTTAGTTTCTCTTAATGCATTGATTCACTGATTTTCCTCACCCGATAGTGCATTAACTGTCTTTTGCCAGAGAGAAGGGGTAAAACTTATGAGAACGAAGGAGAATGCAATGCAAATCTGAAAAAAATTCACATCTAACAGCAAATACCTAGTAGAAACCAACATCCAATGTCATCTAGAAAAACTAAATACAAGTATAAATATATCAATGTTCAGGTACAAAATGGACAAATATAAATGAAACGGCACGCAATATCATCACCATCATCTTTAAAATCAAGATGCAGTCATATCCAGTTATTCCACATAAAGCCAAAACATATTACACATAAAATCTGAAAATAATTTGATCAAAGTTATCAAAACAAATTCGTGAATATAATTTGAATGTTAAAGACAGGGTAATGCCATGTTTCAATATAAGAAATTATGGCAAGAGAAATAAACAAATGATCTAACAGATTCACATTTAAGAGCGCCAGAGGGATTATAATTTATAAGTGTCAGAAGTAAATGTTTAATATCGGTCGAACAGAAGTTAATCAGTAATGATATTTATATCTCTTGAATGCATATAAGTTTTCCTGCGATTTTTTTTTATCATTGCTTAATGATAATGCCTAGCTCCCTAGTAAACAAGTATTAAAATTCTACCTACTTAAATGCTGAAGTAGAATAAGATATAAACTTTGGTTGGATAATTATCAAAACATACAAAGATAATTTTTGGTTGGGTCAGTTGAAGTGGGTCTTGGTCAATTCTCTATTCTGACTGTTTCAAAAATCACATACCGTGGAGAATTTATATCAAAGAAGTAAAGCCATTTGAAATTTCATGGCTCTCCTATTTTTAGTCACAATATTAGTTGAAATGACTTAAGGTTGAGAAAATGGCAGACTCATTCTTTTGATGTGTCCAAACTACATGAAAATTTTAAGTTTCTCAATAGAGTATACATATATTAATGGAAATGCAAACAAATTGATTTAAGAATGTTCTAAGATATTCAGCACTTCATGTGTAATAAAGGTAGCAGATGCATGCCGCTAGGATTTGTTAGTTCTCAAATTTTAAAATCATGCAAAGGAGAACAATAAGTGTTTGATGCATCTGCAAGTATGATATAGTAGACAATGATGCTATGTAAAACAGGTACCTATAGTATTTCAGAGAGTTAAAGATCATGACTTAAGGACAGTATCTATGGCCGTGCCCGATCATGCTTGGTAACTTGGTCAAAGTGGATTATAATCAACTTTTTGGATTATGATCCGCTATTTTGGATTATGATCCACTTTTGCATGTTTGGTGACCATATATTGAGTAAATCGTTTTGGATTATAATCCACATGTTTGAAAGAATAAAAGACAAAATAATCCATCACCTTTTACATCTTTTTCTTCCCCTTCTCTCTCCTTCCACTTTTAAGGGTTCTTTTTGACATTTTAACAAAAAGCGCATGGATTACATACCACCATCTTTTTACCAAACACCTATAATTTTAATCCACTTGGGTTATAATCTCCAAATGGATTGCATATGCGAACCAAAAGGAATTATGGTTTTGGGTTGTACCGAGTCAGAAACCAAGTGGATTTATTTTTTTTGTCCCTTTTTTAAATTATATTATCGTTCCGTCCATTTTTTTCTAAATATGAATCTAAATCTAGAGATATCCAGATTGCGAAATGTCTCAAAGCCTTGGGTTGTTAAAAAAAAGTGTGATGCTGTATTTCCAGGATTGGATTTCATACTCGAATAAACCACGCAATCGTAAGAAAGTTGGTTTTTTTTCCAAGCGAACTATAATATTAAATTTGCCAAACATGCAACAACCACACAAAGCGAAAGAATTTGACATAATCTACGCTATGCTATCACTACCAGTGGCGGACCCACCCTTGTTCAAAGTGGTTCACTTGAACCACCTCAGATTTCCAAGAAACATTATATACTACACATATCAATAAAAAAGCAAAAGTTCTCTATAGCCTATTGGCACTGAAGCTGGTTAATAACGTTGTGTTAAGATTAAGTCTTTAAGAGGTCTGGAGTTCGAAACCTCCAGCCTTCGAAACATTCTTTTTCTAATCAAACTTTTCTATTTTATGCTTTCATTGTTACCTCTTTATTTTTTCTTCATCTTTTCCTTTCTTTTTTATCTCTTTGTTCAGTTTACTCCTTTAAAGCCTTCTAATAATGTTTTTTTTCTTCTTAAATATATATATAAGTCAAATCATTGTTTAAAAATGATGATTTTTTCTCTTTAATAACTCTTCCTTCATTATTTTTTCTCCTCCGCTATTACTTGAGAAAAAAAAATTAATGTATATTTTGAACCACCACTGAAAATGTTGTAGATCCACCACTGATCACTACAAAGCCAAATTTGTACAGGACTCTAGATTAAGAAAGATCACTCGAGTTTCACACCACCACAGAAAGGATTCAATCCGTAAACTGGATAAGATACGAATAAAGCAAAGATTTTTAGTGTGAAATGTTAGACCTTTGCATAGTAATCTTTCCAAACACGGCGGGCGATCTGATGCCCTCCAAGATCGAAAGCTTTGAACTTGATCTTCCCTATGCTCAGCTCCTCCGACGTCGGGTACTGCGTCGGCTGGTGCTGGACCAATCTCTGCTCATTCACCAAGAAAAAATCAACTCAAATCACGTTAAAAATAAAAAGAAAGAAAATCTACGTATCAGTCTCCAATCATCAAGACCCAGAAATAAAAAATAAAAAAAATTAAGGAGTCGGACAGATCGAGCCACCAGATCTCGGTACGGGATCGAGATTGATTGGATCCAGTTACCTCATCCTTGAGCATGTGAAGCAGAGTAGTCTTTCCCGCGTTATCGAGCCCTAGGAACAAGATCTTGGCCTCCTTCTGCCATAATCCGAGCGACGCCAGCACGCCATAGAACCAGTCCACGAGAAACATGGCGCCTTGATTGCGAGATCGGA